AGAAGTGGTAAACGGTTGCCTATATTAAAAAAAGATTAAGGAGTGCTTCGGCTCTCGCAGCACCAAATGTGGCATCGACATATCCGTAGTACGTATGTGGGGTAAGGCTCAGATTTTTGAGGACATGGTTCCCAAGCCATGACATAAACGTATCCGCAAACAAGCATCCGGGCGGTGACTCCATTGCGACACGATCTATTTGCCGGTAGTTTTCCATTTGGACAGCGGCGGGGTGCCTCTGTGGTGCAGCATCGAAACTTTTTTCAGAGATGGATCGTGACAGTTTTAGTGGTGGCAGGGTACAGTGATTGTGGGTGTAGTACATCATAATCTGGATTACATCATTAACAGACACGTCTGCGAAAAATACCAGGCACGCAGGCACAGCCTTGGTAAAGGGGAGGGGGCACAGGGTTCACAAAGGGCCTCTGATAGTGAAGGCCCACCGCCCAAAAAATCGCTGGGTATGGCCCATTTGTTAATGAGGAAAACTTCGTTTTCGGTATGCTTTTCATTGCTGCCCTCGTTCATTGGGATTTAAGCCACAAGCTGCCGCGATAATAAGTTCTGCTAAATTTTGCAGTCATTTATTTGAACAAATCATGAGTTTAATGGTTGCATGCTTAAACGACCTTGAAGGACTTCGTCGGGACTCTTCATTTTACAATGGCCCAGCGGCCTCTTTCTAGACCGATAAAACTCAGAAGCTTTGTCAGAATTTATATCGAGGCTATAGCAAAATAATATACTTTCTAGACCGATAAAACTCAGAAGCTTTGTCAGAATTTATATCGAGGCTACAGCAAAATAATATAAGCCCCGCGAAAGTAGAATGCAAACCAAAATAAGTCCACAATTTGTATTCACGCGCTCACGTGGTGGTCAATTTGCCCCCCCCCCCGAAGTTTTTTCGGAATTTTTTCCGACCATCGCGGCGCAGCCGCGCCAAATTTTGCATAGACGTAGACAATTGAATAGCGGATCGTTTGATATAGAAAATAGGTATACCTTATAACGTCGCTGACCTCTGTTAGATCAAAATCAAGCCATGTTTTCAGCACAGTCAATTTGTAGGAAATCATTCAATTTAATACAACAGTGAATTGCTAGACGAAACAGTATATCTCTGAGATATTTTATTAGGCAACACAACAAATGAATGACCAAATTTCATTGATCTAGGGTCAGGTATGAACGTCAGACCAAGGTCACAATCAGCCTGTCCTAGTACTTTAGGGTTTGCTGTATGGGGTAGATTCTGGTGCTCATTTTGAATTGATTGCTAACAGGAACCGCATTTTACATGTTCCATGAACTTCTTAAAGGTCAAAACAGTTCACTGACCTAAAATGACCCAGGTTAACATTTTTGTTTTAGAAAAATGCCAGCAGGAGAGATCTTCGTTGCTTATTCAAATGCAAAACTTAAAGCAGTCTTGTATGATTTTGGTCATCATGACCTTCAAAAGGTCAAAAAAAATTCACTGATTTTAACTGAGCACGCGGCGACCTGCTAAGAATAGGTATGTAGGTTCTGAGAGCACTTTGGAGACCAGCCTGGAGTTCGGCCTTGTTTGATCTTATTTGTCCCAAAGGACATGGTCTAGGAACCTCAAACTTTGACCTAAGTGGGTCCACGTACAGACCAGCGCACACTATGAATTTGATGTCTCTAGCTCTCTTAGTTCCTGAGATCTCAGGCGGGGGGTCAAATTGACCCCCACCCGAGCGAAGGGTATCCAACCGGCTACCCGGTTGCGCGTTAGCATGGTTAAGGGCCTTGGGTTAAACCATGTTTGTCTGGAAATATTCAACACTCAGTCAGAATCGATAACTGATACGAATTATGTAACGCAGTTTTAAACATGCGTCCTCGTAAATCTTAGAAACAAAGACCTCAACGCCAGGTGTCGCAAACTCCATATGCCGCGCTGCGTCGGCGCCGCGGCTAACACTAAGCCGTGGCCAAGGGGTAAACAAAATTGATGGCGTATCTGACAAATTCTCTCTAAACGCTTTAGGACATTGCAAAATATCCCATCATTTTCGATGTTCTCATGCCATATTTGGCTACATGACGCCTTTTCAGAGAAAATGGAACTTGTCGCTGAATAAATTGCTGAATACATCGCCACAGTTCGAGACTTAGTTTGATCTTGAAGGATAATCTCGAGAGGCCAGGACTTTTTGACGGACGCTAGTTCTTTCTGCCATGATAATTCTAGGGCTTATAAGCAAAAAATGGGCGGTAATTTATTTGTATCATCGAGTTCTCCGCTTTTTCAGCTTAGTTTGACTTAAAAGGGTAACCACCAGAAGTAAGAAGCTTCAACACGTGCTCGGGTGGGGGTCAAATTATCTCCCCCACCCCCTCCTCCCGAGGATTTTTCCGCAGTGGTTTCCGCACAGAGCGGCAAAGTCGCGCCAAATTTTGCACAGCTATAGAAACTTCAATACCGGGTCGTGTGGTATCAAAAAAATAGTTGTACCTTATAAGGTCGGTGATCTTCGGCAAGTAAAAGTCAAGCCATGGATTCAGCAAAGCCAATTTCTAGGGAATCGTTCAATCTGGTGGATCCTTCGAGTATTAAACGGAACCAACATCTCTTAGATACTTTATTCGGCAATACAACACTCGAATGACCAAATTCCATTGACCTAGGATCAGGTATGAAGGTCAGACCAAGGTCAAAACCAACCTATTTTATTACTCTAGGGCTTGCTGTGTGGATAGTTTCTGGTGCTGATTTAGAATTTCTTGATAACAGCAGCCGCATCAGACATCTTCCAAGGAATTATTAAAGCTCAGGCTTGATCATTGATCTGATTTGACCCAGCGAACATTTCTGTTTTGAGAACGTATTACCTAGCGCAATATTTGGCTTATTCCACTGCAAAACTCAAAGCAGTTTTGTATGATTTGGGCCACAATGACCTTCGAAAATTCAAACAAGGTCGAGTGGTCTTAAATGAGCATGTGACCTTTTCCTTAGAACCAATATGTAGGTTCCTGGGACGCTGGAGACCAGCTTAAAGTTTAACCTTGCTTGGCCTTACTTGACCTGAAGGCTAAGGTATAAGAACCTCGAACTTCGAGCTAAGTGAGTTTGCGTACAGGCCAACACGCTCTGTGAGGTTGGTGTTTCTAGCTGAATTGGCTCCTGAGATCTCGGGGGGGTAAAATCTGTTCCCCACCCAAGCGAAGGGCATCCAACCGGCCACTCCGGGCGCGTGTTAAATGGACGGTAGTTCCTGCGCTTGTGAATATTTTGATGTCAAAAGATTCAAAATCGATCGGTAAGTTTTTGGTGATATCGAGTACCTCGTCTTTTGGCGCTGCTTTTGACCTTGAAGGTTGCATGATGTGCCGAATAAACAAATATTTTGATGTTCTGCCTTAATCGACCATGTGACGGGTTTTCAGAGAAATTGGAACTCGCCCCAGAATAAATTGCTGAATATGTCGTCAGAATGCAAGGCTTAGCTTGACCATGAAGGATAACAGCGAGAGGTCAGGACTTTAAGACAGACGCTGGTTCTTTTTGTGATGAATATTCTGGTGTTTGCAAGTTTAAAATCAGGCGGTAGTTGTTAGGTGGTTTTAGTTCTCCGTCCTTATCCTGCTTTTTACTTTGAAGGTCATATGATTTTGCGCTACTAACATCATATTCGATGTTTTCGTGCCATAAGTGACCATATGGCGCATTTTTAAAATGAAATCAGAGCTCGTCGCTGAGTAGATTGATGAATAAATCGTCGAACTTTGCCGCTTAATTCAACCTTGAAGGATAACCTGGAAAGGTCGGAATTTTTGACGGACGCTACGGACGTCTTTGACGAACGTCTTCGTATCTAGTATGTTCTGGTGCTTGCAAATTAAAATCGACCGGAATTTTTAAATGATAGCGAGTTCCCTGCCGTTTGAGCCTGAGTTTTACCTTGTGAGGTCACCTGGGGAGGACAGCACTTTTTGACCGTCGCTAATTCGTCGAGTGGTGAACATTTTGATCCTCGGAAGCTTAACATCGGCCGTTAGCTTTTTGGTGGTGTGGAGTTACCCGTGCTTTGAGCCCTAGTCTGACCTTGAAAGGTAACCTTGAGAGGTCAAGACTTCTTGACGGAAGCTTGCTCTTGCTCTTGTGACTATTTTGATATTTGCAAATCTGAAGTTTACCTTTTTCGTTGCATATTTTAGTGATATTATCCCTCGTCCTTTGAGGCAGAGTATGATTTTGAAGCGTGACCCTTAGAGATCAATACTTTTTGACGGGCACTAGTCATTTTGCTTGTAAGCATTTTGACATTTGCAAATTTAGAATCGGCGGGTAGTTTTTGGTGATATAAAATTTTTCGTCCGTTGATTTCACCTTGAAACCTACTTGATATTGCAAAATTAACGTCATTTTTGATGATCTCGTGCCACGACTAACGATACAACTCGTTTTTAGAGAAATCAGAACTCGTGTTGAATAAATTGCAGAATAAATTGCCCTTTTCACAGACATATCATGGTCTGGTGAAAATGATCGTGCTCCATGCATGTGCATGCGTAGGCTGTCTCGTTCTCTAGGCCTGCGCACAAGATAATGTATTCACGTACAGAAAATAACACACAGAAGAATCTTAAAATGCAATGCAACGATCTTTTGGAGCGGGTTCCCTACTCCAGGGAGCGACAAAGTTGCACGTCCGTCAATCTAGCAGCAGATTGACTAGATTGACGGACGTCAAAGTTGCGTGCCTCCCGCTCGACGAAATCCTGGATCCACCAGTCATTCTCACTTACTGCTAGCTTCGCGACCGTGCCTCAAAAGTCCCTAAAATTGGTAAAATCGGTTTTTGGGTCTATAATTATTAAACTGCATGTCCTCATCAAATTTCAAGGAGATACAGTGATATCCTCCGGTTAAACTGCCGTGGAAGGACTTATGCCTAGCATCAAAATTTGTGGCAGTAATTCAACACGGTTGTTTGATGGAAAATGTCTCCGGCTCGCCGCAATTCGGCATAACAAACCAATGCGTGGCATATTTATGCGGATTTGTAATGTTAAACTCTGCATCTATTTTACTGAGTCCGTAGCGCTGCAGAGAGGGTGCTAAAATCACACCCCGAAATATTTAGTGTAAGCCACAGCTCGGGGACTGTCCGTTTTTCAGTGAGTGTACCAGCCTGCCCAGAAAGTGAAGTGGAATTGCCTGGTAGGAACTGGCTTTTTGAATACTTCTTATCTGAGAAATTTGACGGATTTTTTTGCAGGAGCAGGTTTGGTATCAGGGTCCTTGTGAGGCATAGGTTTACTAAAGAAATCCAACCAAACCACCCTTTGAGAGTGGTGTCAGTTTGGTGATGGCAGTTCATGGTCCACATTGGTAACTTCCACTGCAATATGGTTCATCAACTGATTCTGTAAGGATGTCAGAGACTATAAGTTCTCTTCTTCTGGCAGGATTATTTGAGGGATATTTATTGCCACCTTCAAAATAATATCATTAGGATATTTTGAGGGCAGATTTTGGCCAAATGCTGGTTTGTCACACTGATGGAATGAGTGCTAATGGAAACATCCATCCTTCCTATCCTCTATCTTGCGTCATCCTGCATCCTCGCAACAGCCGCTTGTCCGGGGCCGGCTGCGTGCGTCAGCCACGAGTGGGCCGAGAGGGCCGAGAGCCCAGTGGGAAGAGGGACCCTGGACAGGTATGCAGGCATGAGGGGTTAAAGCTCAGCAGTTGGCCCCCAGGCGCATACATGTCTGTCCCATTGTTAACCATTTTCCTTCATCCCATAGCCCTGGAATGATCATGTTTGGCTGAAAGGGGCTATAACGCAAAAACCAGAGTGCTAATGGAATGATGGGTTGCAGGGAGGAGGGGAGGTGTGGTAATGCTGGTTAGTTTAATAAAGGGTGGGGTGAGGTGATGTGAGGTGAGGTGGGCTGAGGTTAAGGTTAGGTTATGTAAAGTTAGCTTGTAGCCATTCCTCCTTCTTTTTGAAAAAGGCATTCACATGGAGAAGGTGCAGGTTGACAAGGTCATGGCAATGGCACAGGGCTGGTAGTGGGTTGGAAGGGTTGTGTCTCTGGAGCATTCAGATGTTCACTTTTATGATAGGTAAAGTTGAAAGGTAAGAGTGAAGCTCTATCTGTTTTATGATCATGTATAAAATATGCTGCCTAAAAGAAGACCCCTTATGCACAGTGCTCTACAGTAATATAAGGTCCCCACATTTACCTACACTGTCTCAGTGAATTCCTTGGAAGCCAGGGCATGGTGACCAGTAATCATCCAGTCTGCAACAGATGGCAGACTGGTTAGGATATGTGGAGCATGTGTGATCCCGCTTCAAGTGAGGCAGCCAACTTCTCTGCTTAGGGTGTGGGCCAAGTATTTAATGTACTTGGGTACAGGTCTCCAAGATTCACCATTTTCCTGACTGCCTTAGTGTTTACGCCCCAGACTGCAAACAGTAACAGGTTAAGACAAGATGTTGGGACATAGATGAGGTTCAGCTTCAACTTTTGGGTAGCATATACAAGTAATGAAGCAGGAGTTAGTGAATTTTTTTATTAAGAGAATTGTAATAAGTTCTTTATTATCTTTGAAATTGAGAACATCTTGGAAAATGGCCTAATGTGATGGCAAGTAATGCTTTGATGCATGTGAGGTCAACAAAATTTCCTCTTAATGGGGTAGTTTACTATGCTACTTGATGCAGGATTGTCTGCTTCAAACATCTTGTTGGCATGTTTGCTGTGGTTCACAGACTGGTTTACACATACTGGCTACTGTTTACTGGCTACCTGTGCTGCTGTGCTAAAGCTAGGTCACTACCAGACAAAATTTACTAACCAATGTTTCTGCATAATATCTTAGTGCTGCAAAAAGTTATGGCATCTAAAAATGCATCTCATGTTTCACAATGTAAAAAAATGAAATATTACTTCAGTCAGCCACTATGCTGACACTGGATTATCTGACAGGCTGTTGTTTGCAGCTGCCCTTTGCAGTTGCTTTACTTATGAAGCACAAGCAGCATAAGCTGGCTTATGGGGCTTATGCAATGCTTTTTGTCTGAACATCAATCAAATTGCTTTATCTGTCTGCAGAGTGTATGGGTTTTTTAAGATCTGCTGCATCCATGATAGGACAGGGTAACAAGGCAGGGTAGAAACAGCATCTAACCAACCAAATCAACCAAGTTGATGTTTGATATGCTAAGTGAGGAATGATTGCCCAAAGCTTCTGAAATTTGCCCTTACTATCAATTTTTGCCCAAACTGTGCCCCAACAACATATTATCAAAATCCACCATGTTTTGCAGGCTGGATGATCACACACGACCTGTGATGTCTTCCAATGTAAGCTAGTTGATCTGAAGCAGTGAGAAATGATCTGCATATATCTCATCATAAGCACAGGAACAATTTCACCATTAACACCTAGTGTCTTTTGAACAGTGAGAGTATCTTTGCTTACAGGCATTCAATGATTGTGCTTTCCTGTTGATTTTTCTGCTGATGTGGTAGAACTAAGGCCAGAAAATTGTCCAGTCACTCATTTAAATGAAGCAAAACTGCTTGTGAAAATATGCTATTCAGCTTGAGATGCTTCTGTTGAAGTTGGTATTTGATCTCTGAATAATATATGAATGGCACCACTTGAGAAATTTTAAGAAAAAAAAGATAAAAGCTTTGACTGATCATGGGAGTCTTTGTATTGCAGGTTGAACTAATGTTATTTATCAATGAAAGCAGCAGGATGGGCCTAACAACACTTGTTTTATGCCACTACTTGCCAGTCCTGGTAGGATAATGATATGGCTGCTATTTGCCCTGACTGGTATAGTCTGCAGCCAGAAGCAGCTGCCCCACCAAAATGGCAGATGATATTGCAGATAGGTCATGCTCTACCAAGTGTTCTGACATGTACTAACTTGCGCCTCAAAGTTCAGTAGATGGTGTGGAATTTCACAATTGGGTGGTCAGGTTTTTCTTGACATGGGTTCTGATCCAGAAATGCATCCAATCAAGTGGCTTGACTTTCATTTTGAAATTGGAAACTGTTGCCACTATTGGATAGTCCTTGGATGCTGGGTACAAACTTTCAAGCAGCACTACTACTTAAACCACAAGTTACACTTCTACTACTGCATACTTTCATGTCAGTTTTAGTTGGGGTACAAAGTAGGTTCCATCAATATGAAAGAGTTGTCAGGTCTCAGCAAAGTCCACATTGTTTTTCAGTCATGACATGATTTGTTTGATAAATGGCATTGCAGGCTTTACATGGGCCAGCACAGCACTATGGATGGCATGGTCTTGACATGGGATAGCCTGTTCAAGCATTCCTAAGCAGTGAATAGATTTGATGTCATTCCATTGTGAACTTGCTTTTTGGGATATTTTAAATCAGGTTTGAATGTGGCTTTAAGCCATTTTTTGGCACTTTCAGACAATTTTCAAAGAAGCCTGAGTACATTTCAAAAGAAGTTTGAAACTGATGTTTTCATGCTGTCCATATGCAATTTGGCTACATAATACATTTGCCACATTATTATGCATAACCATTGTGCTTAGACAGCACATTATAAATGGCACATTTCTTTAAGCATTTTTACCCTTGTGTGCAGCACCAACTATTGAGTGGAAAAGTAACCTTAGTACCAAGGGTGTTTTCCTTGTTGGTAGGCCAGCAGATCAACTCTGCATGACTAAAGAGAACACTAGCAGGTCAACCTCATAGGCAAATGGTTGGAAGTGGTTGGGGAGGTCTGTGCCCCATGAATGGTACTGCATTAGGCTGATCTGACTATCCAACAAATATTGAATTTCAAATGCCTGCTGCACAGTGCACATTTCAACTGATCTCAGAAGAAAGGCTTGAATGTGTGAAGTGGTTATGGTTCAGCGATATAGATGGATAGAGCTGTTCTGAATGTGCTAGCTTTGATTATTTTGAGCAGATAAGAGCTGAGCTCTGTTAATTGGCATTCACACAATTAGAGAATGACGGTGGCCAAGCAAAATGTCTTTGCAGCCACAGTGTGTTTGTGGCGCGTCAAACTGAGCCCCATCTAAAGTCTCGAGTTATCCGCCCTTTTTTCCTCCTTGCTTCATCCTGCGTCCTCGCGACGGCCCACTTCTCAGGGGGCAGGTTACACGTGCCAGCCACGAGTGGGCAGAGGTGCTCCCTGGTGGAGTCCCGTCTGAGCGCCGAGCACGTGCCGCGTATTGGGATCAGTGTGCAGGCTAAGTCCCGGCGGATGGACCTCAGGCGCCCAGGCGTAGTATTGCCCCACCATTGTCTGTTCTCCATTTCACAGCTCTGAAGTGGTCATTACTGAGGGGAGGAGCTTTAGCCCAAGCCAAATAAAAAGGCCATAACAGCAAATCTTGTTTCCCCCATTCATGCTTCATCCTCAATCCTCGCATGTCTCCGCGCTGAGTAGCGTGCATCAGCCATGAGCGGGCTTAAGCGGCGCTCCCAGCTCTGGCGGCGGCTCCGTCTGACTGCCGCTGAAGCGGCAGCAGTGCCCAGCTACGCACCCCTCTGCTCTATCCCACAGCCCTGAAAGGGGCAGTTATGGCCGAGACAGATTTAATGCCGAAGAAATGTAAAAGACGGCATTGTTGAAAGCGAAACATTCGCCAAATGCGAATACCAGCCTAGAAGGCCACTTGCACATGGGTTCGCGCGCACTCGAATGAGTGTGGAATCCCCCCCCCCCCCCCCCTCCCCCGGGGGTTTTCCCAGAATGATTTCTGAATGGCGCGGCGTGGCGACGCCAAACTTTGCATAGTTGTAGAGCATTGAATAGCGGATCCTTTGATGTAAAAAGATGTACCTTTTAAGGTAGGTAACCTATGGCAGGTCAAAGTCAGGCTATGGCTGTCAGCAAAAGGCAGTGCAAGGGAATCGTTCAATGTGATGAAACAGCGGAGTGCGAGACATAGCCATACATATCTGAGAAAGTTTCTTATGTAATTATCCGCATGAATTTGGAATTACAACCACTTCAACGGACCTAGGGTCAGGCATGAAAGTCAAGACGAGGTCAAAACTAACCTCTTTTTCCTCGAGAGCTTGGTTTTGTGGAGTAGTTTCCGGTGCTCATTTCGAGTTTGTTATGGCCGAAACTGCAACAGACATGTCCATGAGCTTGTTAAAGCTCTGAGCAGATCACTGACGTAAAATGACCCAGGCCAGCATTTTGTTTTTTTAGGAACATACCGCCTAGCGTAGTCCCTGACGCCTACTCGAATGGTAAAATAGGAGCAGCCTGATAGGTATTTGGCACCTTGACCTTGTAAAGGTGAAACAAGGTCACTGATCTCATTAACCTTTTGCTCAGAGCAGGCATCTAGCTTCACGGCGGCTGCATGAGGAAGTCTGGGAGCAAATGACCCCGGAAGTGGGCGCGCCTTAAAACCCCAATTACCATCATCAAGTCTGGAAGCACTTGAGACACCAATCTAAAGTTTGACCTTGTTTGATCCTACTTGATCCCACGGTCATGACCTAGGAACCTCAGATTGCGGCACGAGTGAATTCACGTATAGGCCAGTCTACCTGCTCAATTTGGTGTCTTCAGCTGTCTTGGTTCTCGAGATATCAGGGGGTTAACTTGACCCGCACCTGAGCAAAGGGTACCCAACCAGCCACCGGGGCGCGTGTTAAAAGTGACCAGCATGCGATTTCGGCAAGACAGCATCGGTAACGTCAACAACGACGATTGGTAACACGTGCGTGTCCCAAATAGCAACACAACAATCAAAAGCGAAGCCCTGCGTCGACTTATGCACGGGCATGATTGGGCATTGTCGCATGTTTGCGAGTAAATACCCTTAGGGGTGTGCCCAGACGAGGTCCACCGCTGCAGGCCTCGTCTGCGTGACGCGCCGCTTTCATATTTATCCGAGGTTTTATATTTACATGCATTCGCATACTCCGTTATGCAAATTTCTGAAATTATTCGATTCCCGGTCTTATTTCGGCCTTAACTCATGTCACTGCCCATATTCTTGCAATTTGTAACACACAACGTGATTGGTCTTCGAATCTTGCTCTGATCGCATTGTAGTGATTGGTGGCCAGCTGGCGCCCCTTGGTGCCAGAAATCGTGCTGACGCACGATTGACACCAGACACCAACAATGTTATGAGGCTATTTGTATTGACCTTATACGTTACCTGGCGAATGAGGTGGCAGTTTTCGCGTGACTTTTCCATGACGTAAAGGATGTCTGGGTAACCCAGAGATAGTCTGCTCGAAGTAGTCTGCACAAGTTCGTGGGTGTCCAGCTCAGAAAGAGGAGGGTTTTAAGTCTTAAAAAGGACGTGGCTATGGACTGCACTGAACGATTTCAAATGGCTATCTCAGTCCAAAACCCCACACAAATGTGGAGCACTCCCTTTGATACATTCACAGTTAGCACGGTATAATTCCTCTAGCAACGCTATCAAGACACTTCATCTATGTTATTAAACACATGGTACCTGTGCGTTCGTAAACACGTGGTACCTGGCTGTATGGCTATCTAAGTATGGGCTGAAGAAAAAATCGAGTAAATGACATCCAGATCAGCAGGATAATAATCATGGCCAGAAATCTTGTGTGAGTGAGCCCTGTACTTTAGTTATTATGTGGCAAAAGGGATGACAGGATAAACATCATATAATTATTTGGTGATGGTAGCCGAGATCAGATTGTGGTCAGAATGGACTGTCAGTGGTGGGTCCAGGGCTGGCTAAGCGAAGTGACAATCCCATCACATCCTGATTACATGTGGTATTTATTCTGTACCACGTGTATCATCTTCCATGCGGTTGGTACTCATGTTTTGTGCTTGAAGTTTTATGTCGTGGCGTGCTCTCCTATGTAGCTTTTATGCCAAGCAGTGTATTTTCTGGGAACATTTTGCCTTTGGTATTTTTCAAACAATATTTATCCTGCAGTTGCATATACCAGCGCCAACATGACTGGTATTTTCCGTATCACATCGGTGCTGATCTGTACATGGTTCGGGAGCTGAGCAATCCTCCATCATAGCCGCGCCAGAGAGCTGTGGCGTGCTGACGACTGTCTGTAGTTTCAGCCCGCTGAGCGAGCAGCATATGGCCATGCAGTCCGTACTGAACACGGTCCGGAGGGCCGCCCTGGGCGTGGCTGATCAGCTGATTCCTCTGCCGGGGGTGAGTGATAACTCCGACTGCGCACACGGCCTACGGCCAGAGCATTTCCATTGGGCGCCCTGTTGCCATTCAGCTATCAGTGACGGGCAACTTTGTCTCTCCGTGGTAAAACGTTCGAACGAGTCGTGGTCACGAGGGCCCCTCCTCAAGAGTCGGCTCCTCGTCGGGGGAAAACACGGACATCCTCGTTTCGGAGAGCATTCGCCATGGCATGGTCGGCGAGGGCATTCCCACGATGTCCATCCTCCACAACGCTTTCTCACGCCTTGTTGGTGTTATAATTGACAAAGCGTGTGGAGGGGTGCTCCCGCGTCGTGAACTCGTGTCCGTGACGTCACCTCACGGCCGCAGGAATCCTGCTTCCGAGAGCGTGGCATGCTGACGCCGGACGAATTTGTCGAGTGCGGCGACCAGCTGGTGCACAGCTGCCCCACCTGGTCCTGGGCGTCAGGCGAGGCGGCGCACGCCAGACCCTACCTGCCGGCCGACAAGCAGTTCCTCATCACTCGCAACGTGCCCTGTCACCGCCGCTGCAAGCAGGTACCGTCCGGGGCCGCGGGCAGCTGGCCGGCTGGCGAGCCTGGCGGCTGGCTGTCAGTCACCGGCCGCGCCCCGTCAGCGCCGTCGGGGCGGGATCCGGAGCCGGCCGCGCAGCAGATGGCGCTGGGGTGGGAGGTGACGGGCCAGACGGGGGCTCGGCCGCGCCGGGCTACGTCGTGTACGGCCTTGGGACGGATCTATCCGTGCTGCGGCACTGCTCGCCACTTGCGCCTCCGTGTTTCGGCGCTGTTGCGCTGCGCAGTAGTGTCGGCGCCGGCCGTGTGCTGACGGGCGGCCTCCGCCTGGTCGCCGTGCGGTAGTGTCGGCATTGTCCGTGTGTTGACGGGCGGCCTCCGCCTGGTCGCCGTGCGGTAGTGTCGGCATTGTCCGTGTGTTGACGGGTGGCCTCCGCCTGGCCGCCGCGCAGCTGGACCACGACGAGGCGCAGGAGCGGCTGATCGCGCCGCTCGACGGCGAGGACGAGGGCTGGGTGGACACGCACCACTTCAGCACGGCCGCTGCGGGCGAGGAGCGCGCCGCGCGCAGCATGGAGGCCCCCAGCGCGCCGCCGCCGCCCGCGCCCGCCGCTGACGACGACGACGACGGCGAGGACGGCGAGCCGGGCGACATGGAGGAGTTCGAGGAGAGCGCGCTGGATGACGCGGTGGGTGGGCGCGGTCGGACGCTGCTCGGTGCCGTTAGGGCCGGCGTCGGACAGCGGTCCGCTGCACAAGCGATGACGTTAAGTCAGGTGTGAGCTTCGGTAGTGCAGGGAACGCGCTGATAAAGGTTCGCGTTCTAATGGTATTCGTGTTTTTCGCCATGTGCTCGCGATGATGCAAATGCCCCGCTTATGTCATTTTGATCCCAGGGTGCATGGACGCCAACCACTAGGAAGGTTATCTACTTCGCTTCTTGATGTCAGCTACGCAAGCCGGCATAGACCATGCGCTTCGCCAGTTATCCGTGGAACGGGACGATGTTTGAAAAATAATGATACGAATTTGTTCATTGCCGTGGAAACAACTTCCAGCTGGGGCGATGCGTGTGAGTCGTTATGAGGACGGGTAGACGCCAGCAAAGTGCGCCTACAAGTCGTGTCTGGTGTGGCTTGTGCCCGTCCCTCGCCATCGGCGGGTGTGACGCTGGCGCTCTCCGGCCTGTGCGGGCAGGATGACGCCGTGGTGCGGACGGTGCCGGTCACCAGCCGGGCGGCCGCCGGCGCCGCCTGCGCCGCCGCCGACGACGCCGACATTGTGCGGACGCGCACGTATCACCTGAACATCACCTATGACAGATACTACCGCACGCCGCGTCTCTGGCTGCAGGGGTTCGACGAGGTCGGTGGGCGAGACGTCGGGCAGCGCCAGCGCTGCGTGGCGCCGGTGGATCAGTCACGTGGCGAGAGCTTATCGGCCGAGGCTGTGTTCGCCCCGCTGGAAGCAGCCACCACTTTGTGCCGCAGGGAGCAGCCAGTGATTTGTGCCGGAGAAAGCAGCCGATAATGTGTGCGCTAATCACGATGCGTTCGAGATTACTGTCATTTAGCGTCTCTGTCCGTCACGGGGAATGCCGGGAAATGCGAAATACTGGGAGTCGGGCTCAAACCTGCCGCTTGCCGCCTGCGGCAGAATTGGATGCTCTAGTGGCGGCTGCTTTCCACGCGGTTCAAGACCGACGTGGAGAGCAGCTGGTGTACTGTTGACGTGAAGGTTTCCAATATGTTGCTGTCGCGCCAGACGCTGAGAGCTGGATTTCTGGCGTCTTCCGTATTTCAAAATAGACAAATCATTCATCCAGCCAATAAATCAAAATCAATTAAATCAATAATCAATGTCGTGCTATCGGTATTATGCCGGTAGTGTCCTATCTGCAGATTTGCCGTGTGCTGCTCGGTCGCTGTCGCGCTGCTCCGGCGCTGTTGTGCTGTCATGTAGACGTCAGCCCTGCTCCGTCGGCGCCGGCGCTGGGGCTGAGCCGCCGCCTCCGCAACTGACGCGCGCTCCACCCGTGGCAGAACCGCCAGCCGCTGACGGCCGAGCAGATGTACGAGGACTTCAGCCAGGACCACGCGCACAAGACCATCACTATGGAGGCGCACCCGCACCTGGTGGGGCCGCCGCAGGCATCCATCCACCCGTGCAAGTGAGCGGCGCCCGCCCACGTCCCGTGCTGAAGTCGCTAGGCCGCTGCCGTGATGTGGGGGCCCCGATTTAAAGTCGGTTCGTCTGATAGAATGTCGGTCGGGCAGGCGTGTTGTGAGGATAGAGCACAAACAGGGCATCAGTCTGTCAGAAAATGAAGTGGTGGTGGTTTGCCAACAGGCATCGAAAATGCCTAGGTAAATATTTAAAGAAGCATTGAAGGGCACGATGTTGTATGTGAGTGTTGTAACGCTCACGGTTTGTCGGGCTCATGCCATTTTCAGGTGGTTGTGGACGTGAAGGTAGCTGATCGCCACATGAACTCGGGATCATCTTGAAACAACACAGATTGACATGGCCAACATTCACCGCAATTCATGTGAAGATATAAGAAGCCTTTTGAGCACAAAGTATCCCCCGTCATTGTTTGCTGTTTGCTCAGTTACGGTGTTTGTAGGATTGTTGCATAATCTTGCGCGTATCGCTCGTTTGAATTAGTATTGTGCTTGCTTGCATGCATGTATTGGTACGGCATACCCGTGGGCCGCGTAATCCCTCGGCAATCTGACCGTTTCGGACTGCCAGATGTGGGTGATACCATTCCCGTCGGCAGGCACGCCGACACCATGAAGAGGCTCGTGGAGACAGCTGAGGAGGGCGGCCGCCAGATCTCCGTCCAGAAGTATCTCATCGTCTTCCTCAAGTTCATGCAAGCCATCATTCCGACCATTGAGTACGACTTCACGCAGAACATCCAGTTGTGAGGCGCGAACGCTGCGGTGGCGCGCGCGGCGTGGTCGGACCTCAGGGGTCTTCGGGGGACGCTGACGGACGGGCGGCGCCGGCGCCGCTGACGGACCCCCTAAGGCCGCGAGGTGGCGCTGGCAGACCGCGGAGGCGGCAGCGCAGCGATGCGGGGCGGACGCGGAAAGCGTTGGAGGGTGCGGAGACCTCGGCCCCCGGGAACGGACTGGCGGAGACGGTCGGCGGGCTGCTCCCTGTGCTCGCGCGTCGCTGGCTGGGTGCGGCCGGGCTCGTGAGCGCCGGCGGCCACCAAGCCCCGCCCGACGTCTGGGGAACGCGTCGCTGCCGTCATAATGCACGGCCACAATGGATGCTGCCGACAGATGCCTCCAGGTCTGCAGTGTCAACGGTATGCAAGTGTTGCTCGTTGTGGTTCTTCCCGCCGATGTTTGGGCCAGCTGCTGTTGTGCTAAGCTTTGATGACAGCACATTTCAGTTACGTGTGGGGGTTTATGAGACCTCGGCCGCACTGGTGTCTTGGGGTGTCGGAGCGTGTCTGAAGGTGGCCCGGCGCCCAGCCGTGTCCTCTCTGCCGTCCGTTGCGGCCTGCTTTACCGCTACGCCAGGGGAGCCTGCGACCGGGTGCTTCACGCCGCCGGGGGAGGGGAGGGAGCGGGCGGCGACCGCCATTCGATTGCGAGGCCCGGTGGGTCGGTCTGTGCTCTGGAGGCCCTCTGACGCCCACTGGTTCTCCATAACGTGGTATCGTGGCTTCCGGCGATTCAGCCCGCTCTGGCCCGCCCGGCTGAGCCGGCGCGCTGCTGGGCCGCGCCGCTCTGCCTGCTCCGACTGTGATGATTCAGAGCGACAAGGTCTGCTACCGAAATACAGCTTGCATGATTTTGTCCGGATCGTTGTGTGTGTGTCTGTGTGTCGGGCGGTGGTGCCTGACCATGGCGGGGCCTCCCAGTGTTTCAAGGCGCGCTTTTACAAGGTTCCATCATAGTCAGGATTTTCACGGATTATAATCGCGGCAATCACAGGGTTATGTTAACTCAAATGCCAACCGATAAAAGGAGTGCTTTTACTCGCGGCTGGTAGTTAAGCCTGTTCCAAATTGGTTTCTTTCAACCTCTGGTGTGCGTGCTGAAACTGGCAACACGGGCATAAGCTGACAAAAACTCTGAATATCATGATCCCCTTCAAAATTGTAGGCATTTCACTGAATTGGGATCTCAATACCTTCAGTTCAGTGGGTGTAATAACGTGCCACTCTGTTTTCTGAGCAGGAATTTGTCCTTAAGATGTTGGAGAATCGCTAAAGATAATTATTTCACCACCCTGTTAAAAACGACATATTCGGAGTTGCGTCTGACGTAGCATAAGGGTTAGCATCGGACCCCACATACCCGCACCCACGCACGCACGCACGCAAGCGCGCATGCACAAAACAGGCGGAAAACATCAGTGGTATATGCTTTATTGTCACGGATTGCGATTACATGATTGTGCTCGAGACACGCCACCTTCCTTGGTGCGGGCACCCATTCAGCGACAGTGTCAGCTGGCGCCGCCTCTCACATCCCACCATACAGCTGCGGCCGGCACAGACTTGGTGGCGCCCACCTCCCCGACAGGTGGCGCGCCCTACCAAACGCCCTGGCGCCCGTCTGCCACGGCCGGCAGCTGACACAGATTGCATCGCTCTCGGCTCAAAGGTTGCGGTGCTAATGCTGTACCTGTTTGAATGTAGCGCTGCGGCTTGGGCGATGCCCACGCCGGGGTAGACTTTCTTTCTGAAAGCTTGAGAGACGAAGCGCAGTGTTTGCAAGAAGGCAACATGGGTATTGAATTAATATAGTGCGGCGCAGCTTTCATTTCCAGAATTGGGTACGCTTGCCAGCGACGAAGATACGATAAGCCGCCGCCCAGCTCGTCAACTGCACTCAGTATAAGCAGCTGACTACCACTGGTGCGCACCGGTGCGGCCGACGACAAAGAGCCAGTCGCCGCCGGTGAGCCTATTCCTGTGTCATCAGTGAAAAATGTTCGCTGTCCGACACTCACACGCTAGTTACGAACAGGCATTCCGCTCACGCAGGCACTCACCACGGATCATCACGCTCCGAAGGCACCAGTTTATAAAAATAAGGACCACGAGGGCGCGTTGCTGATAACAAGACGCGAGTGAAGGCACCCTAAACTGTGGTCAAGCGAGGTCTGGCGCGTGTGACGGACACGACCTGATGCTCGCTCCCTACCGCGTTTGTGGATTATGAGGCACGAGTGTGTGCATATCAGTCAGGCACTGCACACAGCTACGACACTGCACCATGTGACAATCTCGCACATAGCAGTGTTCGCGTTATCCGACGATGCATCGGACTGCAAATGTCATATCAGAGTCGAAGACGACCATTCCACGACACAAAACGCTCAGTAAACTGCCACACTGCCACACTCGCCACACTGCCACTGCCACACTCGCAAGACCGGCGCACCACGAGGACCAGCCTGCCTACGCGAGCTCCTCGCGCGTCCAGCTGACCTGGGTCGCGTCATCCAGTCGAGGCGCAGCGCTGAACCGAGCTACCTCCACGACGCACGCCTGGCTGAGCGGCAGGAGAGGCAGCCGGAGGCGCGGGCCTGGGCCGAGCCGCTCTACGTCGGACGCCTGACGACGCGGCGAGAGGGGCAGCCGGGGGCGCGGGCCTGGTTAAGTGTAACACCGATCGTTCCTTGCGCGGTGCCGCGGCGCCGCCTGCTCGCGGTCTGGGCCGCCCGCGCCCTCTGCTGGGACCGCGGAGCCGGCGCCGGCCCTCGCCTCCCGCGTGGCCTCAGCGCCGTCTGCTCCGGCACATCGAGCCGCGCTAGACGGGCACCAGCTCCGCGTGCTCCGCCTGCGTCGCCGAGCCTCGGTCCTCGGCCTGCTCTGCCCTGTAGGCGCGTCCGACGCGGCCGCACGGGCTGGTGTACTGCCAGGGCACCACCATCACCAGCCCGGCGGCCATCAGTAGCACGCCGGACAGGTAGAAGCTGTAGTCGTATACCAACATGTAGTCGAACAGCATTCCTGTGACAGAAACCGGTCGGGCTTCTGTCAGAGGGCCGCGGCGCCAGCAGATTATCCTACACATGCCCCTGAGTTTCGAGAGCATGACAGGGGCGAGGGTGGAAGCACTTGTCAAAACCGAAGGCCGTGCTGCACGATGTGGGGTACCACATGGAGTAGTGAAGGCTGGTGCCAAGTCATGCAGAAGTTAAGGGCGATGTGTGTAACGTACGTGCGGCTTTTAGAAGAAAACTTGTGCGATCAGTGGGATTCGTGCTTTAATAACCCCACACCTGATACCACGGGCTGCAAAACCTACGAAGTTGGTGAAAGTTGCGCAAAAATCTATACATATCAAGAAAAGACGAAGAAATCATAGTCCGTTCTAATTCCAGGTTTTGACATTACTCTTCAGCAGCATACGTGGAAGCAGCCGTCGCTCCAGCCTGGAGGTTGGAGCAGTTGCACCCAATACGGCGATACAGTGGTCGACCACCCACCGGCAACGGGTCCTCCTAGCATAGAGCCGGCGCCTTCGAACAGCAGGAGAAAGCCGTAGCCAATGCCGAGGCGCTGGTCACCCACTAGTCGGATGATGATGTCAGGAAGGAGGGCACCCAGACATGAGCTGCAGAAGCCGAACACGCTGGCACACACGCAGAGCGCTGCCGAACACAGAACACAACGGTCAGGGGACAGGGTCCAAAATGCAGCAGAACACAGAACTCAGCAGTCGGGGGATGGCGGTGCCGCCGCCGCCGAACATAAGCACAGACGTCAGGAGAAAGAACCGATCACGCTCCCGAGCATAGATCACAACACAACAGCTTTGTTCCGTTTTGCAGAACACGCACAAACTTGTGAAGCACGATTGACACGCTGCCGAACACTGGGTAAACTGGTCAGGAGACGGCAACGACAACCCCTCCGAACGCATTTATCAAAAAGTTATAAGACAAGAGCTAAAATTCTGCGTCACAACGAGCACAGTGATCAGGAGACTTAGAACTGATCGCACTGCCAAATACAAAACGCGGCGGTCGGGAGTGGGGTAGTTCATGGCATGCGTCGGGGTGGGAGAGAATCCGTCGAAGAACGCAAAGCCTTTTTGCTGCTTCAGTGCTGTTAGCGCCTTTTTTGGTAGTGGTCAGAGCAGACGGCTAAGTACCAAACGCAGAGGTCAGCAACGAACATAGTACGATACAACAAAGGGAAATGGAGAATTCCCCTTTCGCTAATCATAAGACAATGATAGCCCTATTCTTATTATGTGCCCATATCATGCGGCAGCCAGGGACTTACCAGAAGCCCGCTCGGCTACCTAATTGCGCTTAAATTAAGATTGCGTGTAGAATACTAGGGCCTCTCACGATGTTTTTTTCAAGAGTGACCATCCGGTATCTCCGGCAGCCCTTCCAAATATCGCTGACCAGGGCCGATCGGAATGAGGGCTCACCGATGACGCTGTTGGAGGCGGGCATGAGCAGGGTAGCGATGCCGGACCCCACGCTGGACACCATGTAGACGAGAATGGTGGTCATGCGTGGGAAATGACAGACCACACCGTGCAGGACCCGGCCCACCTGCCGGCCGGTAACAGCTGTCAGCCCAGAGGCCGCGACCAGCGCACATCCGAGCTGGCACCCAGAGCGCCGCGCTCTGCGCGCACTGTCGAGCGAGCAGGCCGGCAGGCTGAAGCTCTGCGGTCACTTTCAGGCGAACAGGCCGGCAGGCTGAAGCTCTGCGGTCACTGTCCGGCGAACAGGACGGCAGGCTGAAGCTCTGCGGTCACTGTCCAGCGAACAAGACGACAGGCTGAAGCTTTGCGGTCACTGTCGGGCGAACAGGTCGGCAAAATGAAGCACACACTGCTGTTGATGCCTTGCATTAGGGTTTGCCTTGTGCGTGTGAGGCTGAGCTTACATTTGAACAATACTGCGTGTGTGTGTGTGTGTGTATGTGTGTGTGTGTGTGTGTGTGTGTGTGTGTGTGTGTGTGTGTGTGTGTGTGTGTGTGTGTGTGTGTGTGTGTGTGTGTGTGTGTGTGTGTGTGTGTGTGTGTGTGTGTGTGTGTATGTGTGTGTGTGTGTGTGTGTGTGTGCACTTTTGTTAGCATATTTCCTATGGCATCCTCTGCCCCTCGCGATACAATTGGAGCGATTCCTACTCGGAATGGCAACTAGGACGCTGCCTGGAAGGCAGCCAGCCAGCAACGGGTCAGCAGGTTTACATGGCGTTTGCGCACGTAGACTGGGGCAGAAAAGCGGCTCAGGGTCCTTTAGAGCGACATGTCAAAAGTGCAAAGAGAATATCGATAAAAAAATCATTTAGGGGAAAAGCGCCTGCGCGGAAGAAAAACAAGTGATCCTTTAAGACTGCATCTTATGTTCAAAGTGCCACGACAATGTTCAAAACAAGGCCGTTAAGGGGCAAGGCGTCCGGGTGGAAGGGCAGCACATGGCCCTTTGTCATAACATCTCACGTTAAAAGCGCGAAGAGACTGTTCAAAACAAAGCGTACACCTCCACTTGCATGGCTCCAGCCACGCTGTGCCCTAGGACTAACCAACTTCAATATGCACGGCCCGGGATCTGGGCAAGTCTGGGGCTGTGGCCGTACATATACTAAATGTGGTGGCAAATCAGGACCACACACAGCCATGCTGAGTCTGCCGGGGCAAAAGGCGCCGGCAGATGTACACCTGGCTACCCACTGTTGAGCGCCATTCTCCCGATCCCTCCATGGATAAAACCCGATATGATGTGCCGCTACCGATGACTTCTTGGCAGACATCTGTAAGTGGGCTAGCTTTGGCATGCCCCGCGGGGACTCACCAGGTTGGAGACGCCGACGATGGAGAAGATCAGGCCCGAGTTGGTCTCGCTGAAGAGACCTGACGAGATGGCCAGCGCACCGAGATGGACGTACACGATCACCAAGCCAAAGCAGTAGAGGAAGTTGTTGGAGCACAACGTCAAGAATGGAACTGACTTCATGATTCCCAGGTTCTCCTTTAGCTCGATGAGGTAACCCTCTGGAACATTGTACCGAGTCTGTTACGCTGGAATTGAAAACAGCGAATGAAAGCCAACATTGATAGGTGGCTCCACACATCAAGAAAGCCAGCGCCACGGTTTAGAGACCGCGTTTACATAGCACATACGAAATACTGCCAGATGGGCATGAAACTTTGCTAAGGTAACCAGACGTGTTGCCCGACGTTAGCTTGCCTTGAGTGGGACGATGTGTTTCTGGACCGCATAGCTTCAGTAACACATCGTCGCGCACTTTGAAAGCACCCTTGCCGTTTCTCGATACTTTGATAAGCAACACCTTTTTAACAACAGCTTTTCCCACCAATGGCACCATCAATCGGATACACTGACAGTAGCTGCACAGGCGTCCGCCCGCCCTGCGCGAGGTCTGTAAGGTTTACAGTTCGAAAATAACGCGCATGCGTGCTCCCCGACTTTGCGTCCGAGGCAACCAATCAACCTTTATTTGACAGTATCACTAAATCTGCCGACCAATCCGCGTTGAGCAAAGCCAATTTCAACACAGCTCGATGCGTTTCGAGCTTCGTCTCACGTATTTCGTGGTTTGGCTGCCATGCATTGCCGTATGTGAAGGGAGATTATCATTAACGTAAGTAACGACATTGATAGTCGATGATTACTAGTTCCATAGTAACAGCGTTGCGATTGCCAATCACGAATAACACAGTACCAGCGTACCATCTTTACGCACCAAAGATACCGTGAGAACAGTGCAGAAAAGGTTGCCCACTGTGCTTTGGCTATACATACAACGAACAAGACAAAGAGAGTGTCCCCATTTGTGTGGGGTTTCGAACTGAAGAAACCATCTTGAGATCATTCGATATAGCGTACAGCCCTGCCCTTTTCAACCTATGCCCGGTCGGTGGTGCCCGGTGGAATATTGGAATTCTGCGTCAAAAATGCCCATTCAAACCGACTATTTTGAGCTCAGAATGTGTTTTGCAGAAGACACACATAAAGGTAGGTTATAACCTAGGCCAATGTCATGTGCCCTGAGTTCGTATTATAACTTTGCATGTGAGTCAGTAATTTTTACCTAATATATTGACACCAAAACCACACAAAAATATGTATACCATTGCATTGCTTATGAAAAATGGCAGAAAATAGCCTGCGATTCGGTGACTGACCGTATTTTCCGTGAAATCTGAAGAAATTCAAACTGTAGGTACCACTGTATTCTATAACGGTAGCAAATTTGAGCGATGACAAATAACATTCAAAAAAGCTACCTGCGGTTAAAGCTTGTTAGAGGTTGATCTATTTGACTCCGACCTAGGTCACTGATGTTAGTAGATCAGAGCTTGATCTTTACATAGAGGATGCTGAATTGATGTTTGAAAAGGTGCTTACAATTTCGTGCTGCTGTGATTCTTGGCGTTTGACTTATGCTCGAAAAACCATAAATGACAAAAACCGAAAAGTGCGGAAGTCGGCTTCTCGCCGGCCGGGCGGCGTCAAGAACTAAATCATTTTAGTTTTCTAGCATCACACCCGCAAAAAATGTGAAGGCTTATTCGGAGAGACTTTTTAAGGTCACCCAAGCATCCATGACGTCAGACAAATGCTGCCATTCCACTTGCCATGCGGCGATCAAGGCCAAAAAATATAATTGTCGAGCCTTTCATGTCTGGTGTTCGTGAGCACGATATCTAGATGTAGCGGTCGTCAATTGGCTATTAATCAATGTTGTGCAAGCTGCATGACACAATCGAACAATGACATATTGAGGAAAAGCATTACTAAACAGAGAAATTGTGCTGCCTAGACCAGCCTTTTCCACATAAAAGCATGCCAGCTGCTATAAGTGAGGTTATTTCATCCTATCTGATGCTTGCTTCATTATCTTCAAATGTGGAGCATTGCGCGTTAGACTGGGAAAACAATAAAGGAAGCTTCTTGCATAGACCCCGCTACCCCATCATTTGATGCCTACTTATCTACATTTCAATTATATCATAAGTCCTGCGCGATTATGCTTAATGCATCACACCCACATAGCATTTGTATGTATGCATATATATATATATATATATATATATATATATATATATATATATATATGTGTGTGTGTATATATATGCATGTTTTTTATCGCTTCCAAAGATTCGGAACTGATGTTATAATTCATGAAATGTCATGATTCAACGTGTTCCCACGTTCTCTTACTCTGGAAGGCACTGGCATTCCTTTTCTCGATGGGCTTCATCAGGGCTCCACAGACAGTCAGAGTTCCCAGCACGATGCTCGCGATGATGAGCAACACCATCCTCCACGTGTACACCTCCATCAGGGCCCTGAAGAAAGGTGGTCCCAAACAGAACTAGATAACGCTGCAATATACGGAATAAATATGTTGACCAAAGTACCTAATATGTACCGGAAATTGAATCTCACTGGATTTGGCAGGATTTTGAGAAAAAAACAAAGCAGTTAATGCACTTTAACGGGAACGGGATTGATAAGACCTCGCTGGTATGATGATGGATGGCGAGAGGCTGCTGCGCTGATGATGAATGGTAAGACACGACGGACTTGATCATGGATGATAAGACACCACTGGCCTGATGTTGAATGAAAAGACATCACTGGCCTGGTGGTGGATGGGGGACACTACCAGCCTGATGATAGATGGTGAGACACTTCCGGAATGATCATGGGTGGGGAGGCACTACTGGCCTGACGACGGATGGAACGATGGTAATGAGTTCATGCCAGGTGAGACAACGTCAATGCCTGATGGAAGGACGAGAAGACGACGCCGCCGCTGCGGATCCCGGAGTCGTACATGCTTTACGACGCGGGAGGGAGGGCACCGACCTGATGACGGGCGGGAAGACGAAGCCGCCGAGGCCGACGCCAGAGACAGCCAGGCCGAGCGCGATGGTCCGCCGCTGCTCGAAGTACTCGCTGACGATGACCACTGTCGGGATGTAGGCCAGGCCGAGGCCGATCCCTGCAACACGCCGCAGTCACCGCGTGACCTCGCCAAGCCGGTGGCTTTCGCGGAGCTCATGCGGTTCCAAGGCTCGGCAAATCCGCTGCACACGGCAGACGGCGTGGTCTCGCCGGAAATTCCTCGGAAGCATGCTTGAGAACATGTGCACAAAATCAGGACGCATGCTTGAGGACAGCTGCACCATATTGGGTGATATCACGCCGACACGGTGGCAGGGCTCTCCATCGAGGTATGCTCAGCTTCAGGCCAACCAGGATCAGCAATGGGTTCGTCTGAAATAACAATCATTCGGCGTGTATGCCAAGATTGGGCGTGATAAATGAGTCCCGAAATGCCTTAGGACTTGCGGTGAGCTCTAAAGAGATCACGCTCTAAAAATCTTACATGCGGATTTAAAGATCACGCTTTAAAGCGCATGACAGAAAAGGGCTTCAAGTGATAGTCAACCGTATCTAACACGCGTCTATGCATTTATCCGTGCAGCACGTCAAAGGACGCGTGCACCTGCACCAAACCCGGCGTCAGTGGCAGCCGCCAAAACTGGTGCACACCGGATCATCTCCCCATCCAAGCACATCAGTGCTGGCGCTGCACAGGAATTGAATAACGGCCGTCTCTGGTGGCGGCTGGCTGATTGGCAGTGAATCACTTGCCCGGAAGAGGTCAATTATTGTCGTTGTCGACGGCTGGGTGCCTGGTGCCGACTGAGGGCGTGGCGGTATTTCAAGCAGGCCAGTGAGCAGCTGAAGTAGTGCCGGACAAAATCGGTTGCTACTTAATTCTTTGTGCATGTGGACTTGATAAGCTTCCGTGAAACATATGCTCTCAGTATGAATGATCTCAGGCCCACCGTAACACGCTAACTGGAGGGGCGGGGCGAACACTACTTTAGCCTCTCCCAATGTTGGTTTGACCCAGTTTGACATTTTTACCCATTCTGCTGGTAGGAGAGTCGCCACAGGTTTTCAGCTGGCGGGGGGGGGGGGAGGGGACAGGGTCTTCCATGGGTCTCACCGGTGGCCTCCAGCGAAGCACTGTATTCAAGAGTGAGGGGCACTGAAGATGTGTGCCCCGTTATTAAATTGTTGCATTATCATACTCAAGCAAGTAAATGTCGACAGTCAAAAATATAGGTTGTGGATCTTCTAATTACTCGACAAAGGGCTTCGTTAAGCTAAAACAGGGCCTCCTGCTACAGAAAAGAGCCTCCCTAAGCAAAGATGGCCCTACTAATCCGGGACAAGAGGCTCACGATTCCCCCAGGGGCCTCCAGATCTAGCCAAGAAACCTCGACAGCCCGAAACGGGACATCCTGATCCCAATCGACGGCCAGCTGATGTTGGAAGGGCATCCTGTCCCAGAAGTGAACCCCCTGAATGTAGAGGGTGCGTCCCCAACCAGAACAGGGGCCTCCCAAGTTGTAACGGGGGCCTCCCGAGCCAGCAAAGTGGCCTCCTTAATTCAACAGTTGGCCTCCTGATCTAGAGTACTGGCTACCTTATTCACAAAGGTGACTTCAGGACCTAGGAGATCGGTCTCTTGATGTAACAAAAGGCCTTCTAAGCCTGATTTATTACTCTGTATTTCAGTATTTTAGCAATGAGGCCTCCTGAATCTAAATTTGGTTATTCTTTCTCATGGTTGCAATGCCCTTCGTTGGAGAAAAGGAGAATCCCGAAACATTTGGCAACCGAAGCATTCTCTGCCCCCTCTGCCCCTCCCCCTGCTGCGCTACCCCTGCCTGCTGATGTATAACGGTTGGATGCGGTACGCAGCGCGACGAATCCAGCCTGTTTAAAGCACGGGTCGTGGGCTGCGTAAGCGCGCATGCGGAGTGTGTACCCGTGGCTCAATCAGCTGGAGCGCCTGCCTCTGAGCCTACCGTGGCGGGGTCGGCGAGGTCGGGTCGCTTCAGTGCTTGCCTGGTATGTGGCCAGTGGCAGCAGCCGCTCAAGATCAGATGAGGTCAAACGGCGGAGTAGACCGGGCCGGACATTGGGGCAGTTCGCTATTGGGGCCAGTTAAATTTTCGCTACAAAAACCGGCCGCTGAGCTGGAATATCATGATCGGATGGTGGGGCGAGGGCTCACGCAACAAGCTGCGCTTAGCTTGGGAGCTGATTCCAGAGATATGTTCGATCGAAATGTTTGGGTTATTTTTGTTTAAAGCTTACCAAACTTAACAAGCGCACGGGTGGGGAAGGGATCACTTTGACCCCTCACCCCAGAAAGTGTTTCTAAAATGCCACGGGCTAGCCGCGCGTAACTTTGCATAGTTGTAGGCAATGGACTGGCGAATCTTTTGGTATAAAACTTGGATGTAACTTGCAACGCTGGCCTATCGGAGGTCAAAATCAGGCTGTTGCTGTCAGCGAAGGCCGTTCTGAGGAAATCGTTTAAAGCCGTATATATCTGGTATGTTTTCTCTGGCAAAACTCTAACTGAATGCAGAATCACAACGGATTCCATGGATCTAGGGTCAGGTATGAAGGTTAGACCGAGGTCAACATCAACCTGCTTTTACACTGAATCTTGCTTAACCGGGTAGTCTCTGGTACTAATTTTAGAGTTATTAACACAGGGACCACAACAGATATGTTCCATGGACTTTATAAACGTCAGAATAGGTCACTGAACTAAAAGGACCCAGACAAACATTTCGATAATAGGAGCATACCGTCCAGCGTAACCCCTGACGCTTATTTGAATGTCAAAATAGTAGCAGTTTTTGTATTTTTGGTCATCTTGACCTCCAAATGGTCAAAGAAGACCAATGGTCTTAGATGAACACCATTGACCTTGTTCTTACAATACGCATCTAGGTTCACAGCGCTTGCGGGAGGAGGTGTGGAACACTTTGGACACCAGTCTGGAATTTGACCTTGTCTGACCTTATTTGGCCCCAAATTTATCACCTAGGAACCTCACATTTTGATTACAGCGAGCTCACATACGGGGGGGGGGGCAACCTACCCCGTGAATTTGGTGTCCCTAGCTAATTAAGTTTCCGAGATCTCGGTGGGTCAAACCGACCCCCGATCCGAGCGAAGGATATTCAACTGGACACCCGGGCGCGTGTTAAGAACGTCACAGGTGCAGTCAGTTTATCATATCTAGGTGTCCTCTCCAGTTTACTCAGTCATCCCCTTCCTGGTTTAGCCGCCAGCTGATCGCCGAAAGGAGTCTGACATTTCAGATGAGAAGGAAAAATATAATCGGTCGCCCGGCGCTGGCAGGTACTACCGCTTCACATTAACGGAGCCCCGATAGTTTTTTTCAGGAAAAAGAAATGTCCGCCACCTGCAGCCGCATCGCAATAAACAGCTAGCGTGAATTATATTAACGGGCTTTGAATGCTTGCCAAATTCGACCAGTTTTTTAACTAATTTGCGCCGCAAATTCTTCCCAAATGAATGCATGTTTGCAAGATTTTTCAGCGCAAGTTTTGGGTGTCAACCCTAATGCAAATATTCAGCGTTGAATGTGCCTTAAACTAGTTTCGGGATCAACATTAAAGCCCGCCAGCTCCATCAGACTCTAGTTTATTTCTAGCAGAATTCGAAGCGCCTCTGTGGTGCAGAACAGGTTGACCTGCTCCAGGCACCTCATTGTACTTATGTAGTCGGAAGACGGGGACATACTATTAATGTGTCCCAAAGGTACCATTGTAGGGCAATTATAAGATCTTTGTACAGCACAATGTGAATAACTAAAAGACGCATTGTGTGGAAATGAAAGATACATTGTGACATGCTCACTCTTCAAGGCTACTCTGGCGCCCGGAGTACAACGGACAAATGACTATTGAAGCTATTTCTAGCGCACTAGCAATAGCTGATAATATTAATTTGTCATGACGGATGATGCTACAGCGGTCATTTTAAGTGGCAAAATCTGTTCCATTGATTTTGATACCTCAGAGAAGATGGAATTTGGCAGAGGGGTGGGCATGGATCGTTGCATACCACTTATACAAGTATACATCATCATGGCGTGAATTTCAATCAGGGACTCAGCAGACTTTCGCAAATCGTCACGGAGGCAATAGTTCCACGGCGCTCTATTTCCTGGGCCTACCGAATGCTTGGCACCGACATTTGCCTGTGTTTCGTACTGCTCGAAAAAACAAACCAGGGAGTGCTCTTGAACCCGATCCGCGGATTCATCCGTACTTTCCGATGCCGATCCCGCCAGGCCCTGACCGCCCTCTGCCGACAGCTCCCCAGCAGCCGCGCCGCGGGCGCCGGCCGGCGCTGCGACAGGAACGACGACCGCGGCGCGCCCGCGGCCCGGCTGCGGCGCGTGGCACGCGCGGGCGCCATTGACCGCCCCCCCCCCCCCGATCAGTCCGGTCATAACATATGAAGCGGCCGCTGTGTGCGGCGCCCGCCGCCCCGCCCCCTCCCTCCGGCCCTGACAACAACAGGCCGCCCGAACCGACCGTGGCCACGCGCACAGCGCTCGATACCAGTCGCTTGGCGACCAATGGCAGCCTTTGGAATGCACGCACCACAAAGCAGGTGCCGGAATAGGGTACACACATACAGCAGTTGTCACGCCAAGAATTTGTTGACATGAGCATGAAGTACGCTTTCCATTCAGAATATTTGTTTTGGCTATTGTTTCTGGCAACCTTCTCCCGGCTGCGTCCACCACTGAGCATCACAGATACATATGTATGGTTTTGCAATGCCAGGTGAGAGGATGACACGTAGATTTGAAAGGCGTGCTCACTCATCAATGAGGAACTTTTTGACAACCGTGAAAAGGTGCAGCTCGCATATTTTTGTTCAGTTCTTGCGGCTGGCCATGGGTGCCACTGTTCAAGGGACGCTGTGTGTGTCTATGTATAAAATGGCGGCACACGAGCTCTTTAACTTGATTGTTTCTGGTTGTTGTGAGTGGAAGCGCACTGATGTTGAGACACTTGTGGACATTGTTCTGGCGGCACAAATGCAGGTTTCTGCAGGAACAAAGACCAGTTGCATGGGAACTCGCGCCAACTTTTGCTTACAAACAACAAGACTTTCAAATAATTCAAGTGGCGATGGATATGGCCAGGGTTTGAGTTTTGATCAAGGAAATCACTACGTTTTGACTAATCTGCGTTTCCTGTGATTGTGGGTAGATTTCACAAAATGGACATTGTTGGTGAAAATTGAAATTAATGGACGTCAACGATCACTGGGCTGATCACTGGCCATTCATGGTGTCGCCCTTTCTTGGTCAGGCACTAGAAACTTGATCCCCCGATCGGTTTTAAAAAGGGGGCATTGACCAATTCACGCTTTATCGCTGTCATTCTTTTTGATTGAATGGTGCTGATCTGCTTGCTGAGTCATATGCGGTATGTTTGTTCACACAATAAGAATGGTTCTAGCTCTGCACCTACGCTGGTTGCCAAGACCTGGCGTCATTGCCAACACCAGCCTCTGACCAGTGGAGCTATGGCCGCGCTTTGGTTCTAGCTCTGTACCTGCGCTGGTTGCCAATACCTGACGTCATTGCCAACACCAGACTCCGACCAATGGAGCTATGGCTTGCGCTCAAGGGTGTCTGACTTGCCGCATACAGTGGGACGCACTGATGCCATTCCCAATCCCCGCATGTCCTAGGAAAACTGTGCTGATCCTGCGTCGCCGCGAACTTGGGCTGTTCACATCTGGCCCGGTAGTGGTCAGTGCTGTGGATATTTTCGCCCACCATGTGCAAACGTTGGCTTTCGCATGTCAATTGCATGCCGCATGTCGCATTGAATTCAGAAAACAGTACATATCAGCAATGACAGGGGATTTGTGATCATAATTTTCACCAAAGTACAGATGTCCAGCAATGAACACATGATATTTTCTTTTGGTGGTTCAATGGCATCTGTCATCTTTATTTTTGCGTTGGGGGCATCATGCTTATCGGTTGAATTCTCAGCTTGTTTATTCGCTTCGTCTATAGTCATTGGCGTGTTTAACTGATCGGTCCAGGAGGAAAGTCGATAGCCTGTTCACAGCAGGATTAGTAGAACACCTTAAATGGTGAATGAGCGAAATCCAACTGAATTTTAACGCACGCCCGGATGGCCGCTGTAACACCGCTCAAGTGAGGGAGGGGTCAATAAATTCCCCCTAAATCTCAGAGATAAGAGAGCTGAAGATACCACATGGATAGGGTAAATGGGCCTACATGTCACATCATTTCTGTAATTTTTGAGATCCGCAAGTTATGACCTTTGTGTCAAATAAGGTTAAACAAGGCCAAACACCAGATCGGTATCTGAAGCTCCCTTAGACCTCTGCATGCAGCCTCCTTTTACCTAAATACCTTGACTAAGCAAAAGACTACTGGCGCCCATTTCAGGTCGTCGACCTTATTTGACCTTCACAAGGTCATGGTGACCAAAGACCTTCAAAACTGTTCTGATCTCTTACTTGAAACAGGCGTCAAGGATTACACAAGGTGGTATGCTCTTAAAAAAAGGTTGATGGGGGTCATTTTGTGCCTCTGGACACATCCGACCCATATGAAGCCCAAACGACACGTCCGTTGGCGTACCTGTGATCAAGAAACAAGAGATATTCATCAAAAATTACGTCATAAATCGCTAGTTCCAGTAAAAAATGTACCGGATTTTGGCCTGGGTCTGACATCCTTCTGATCAAGGTCAACGAAATAAGTCGAAACCCTAAACTGAATTGTCCAACCGTCTTAGAAACTGTCCTAAAACTCTTTGGGTTTGTCTGAAACTCCCACGCCGCATCAGATTCAACAATTCCCTCGGGATTGCCTTCGCTGACAGCTATGACCTAACGCTGATCTGGCGTAGGTCAACGACCTTGCTAGGCACGTCTAAAATGCATGTCACAATCTGCTGTTGAACTGGCTACAGCTGTGCAAGGATTGACGTGGCCACGGTGCGCCGTTCGGAAGCTTTTTAGACAAGTCTTCATGGGTTAAAACCCACCTCCAGTGTTAAAGTTGATTCTTACGTTGCATCACGCTAGCTCCAATGCTCCACCTTCTCTAAACGCTGGTGGGATATTCCCCTCCCCCAGCCCTCTGCTCTTGCGCCGATGGATTGGGTTTCAGCCTGGCTTAACAAATGTCGCGTCGCTTGCCGATGTGACGTCACTCTGGCGGGCTGCCGACGTGACGTCACTGATATGCTGCCGGTGTCGATGCTTACTTACCACCAAGCAGGGAAAACGTCAGGTAGAGGACGTACAGCTGCTGATGAGCCAGCACCGAGAGCGCGATGCCAGCTGAGGCCATAACGCCGCCGGAGAGGAGCACCGGCCGGCAGCCGTAGCGCTGCACCAGCGGTGACGAGATCACACCTGCGGCAGCACGGTGCGGTTCTCAGGGGCAGCCGCAGGGACGGGCCAGCGGAGGGTGCAAAACGAGGGAACCGTCGAGAGTGAAGGAGCGAGGGAGGGGGAGGCAGAGAGAGAGAGAGAGGTAAAGAGAGAGAGAGAGAGAGAGAGAGAGAGAGAGAGAGAGAGAGAGAGAGAGAGAGAGAGAGAGAGAGAGAGAGAGAGAGAGAGAGAGAGAGAGAGAGAGAGAGAGAGAGAGGTAAAGAAAGAGAGAGAGAGGGAGAGAGAGAGGGAGGTAAAGAGAAGGAGGGAGAAAGAGAGGGAAGCGGGGTACTAGGGAGCTGAGCGAGATAAGAATCAAAATGCTGTTTAAAAACACTGCAAGAAGAAAATTACGTGTGATCAAACCGACGAAGTAGGTTTATCAGATAAATGTTCACCCACCTGATGAAAACATCATCGCATTCAATAACGAGCCGACCCATGCGGTGGCAGTTTTTGATTGCTGGAACTCCGCCAAGAAGATGACGTTGAAGATACCGACTGACCACGAGACGCCATATATGACCACGTGGGCCTGTAAAACACGCAACGAGCACGCATGAAAAACATCTCAATGTGTTGAGCTGCCGCAAGGGTTTCTGGTTTGCGCAGCTTGGCTGGAAGAAAAGGAGTTATGCATCATTATTTTCTCAATGATCATACGTTGCGAATATAACAAAGACGAGAACGACAAAGCTCGGCGACAGCGTGATGCAGTATAGTTGCAAAGTAAGCAAATTGAGAAAAACGTGGGTAAAGCAGGTTTCAGTATCTGAGCATTGCTGACCGGCGTGTCATTACCGTGACACATAGCCGATGCAATGATTATAGAGTTTGCGGGCTTATATATTGTTGTAATGTTATGCTATTTCATGTTAACCTGTTTGATGATTAACTCCACTTAAATAGTTATTCTCGTATTAATTTACGAGGCGTATTGGCTGTGTGCGTACTTAAAAGTATGGCATCCTCATACTGTTTCAACTTTAACGTTGCACCACTCGGACATCTGCTGTACTAATCGGGAGACATGGAGCAAGGTGAAAGATGTCTGCTGTCAACCAATGTTTGGGTTCTCAATGAAGAGAAGGCACACAGAAAAAAAAACGAAAGAAAATCCGAAAGACGCCTGCAACCAATGATCATTTGGGTTCGCCATGAATGAAAAAAGAAATGTGATAAAAACACAAGGCTTTTCACGGGCAATGAGCTTCACTAACAGTCCGAGCAAAGAGAGCTGCTGCCAAAACCTATTCACGTCCAGTGACTTGCCAAGAACGAAGCGAACACGATGACCCAGCCGTAGCCCCCATCCGGCTTCGATTGTGGCGCAATTTCTGTCAACTCCTGTTGGGCCTTGGCTTGGCTCGGGTCGTTTGTGCACGGCGTGGTTTCGGCGGGGCAATCTGAAACAATTCAACACCTGTAACACCCATCACAACCGCTCTGTTGGCCGCAATCGCGTGGCGTAATCTTAGGCCGAACGACCACCTCTGCTTATGTTTTGTTTGGCTCGTCACGTTGACCGGCCGCGGCCTTGGCCATCCAGGAACCCGGTAAAACCGCACGCAGCGCTCGGACCGATCCGCCAGGGAACGTCGTCTTCATTGTTGGAGGGAAGTGCTGACTCATCTCGTTGGCTTCGTGTGAAGGAACGGAGTGGTAGAGATGAGCGAAGGGCTGTAAGGACGTAAGGGCGCGAGCAGTGGGCTCGTGTTAATCCATGAGCGTACACTAGCTCTTCGATTACACGAGTCCGCTGAATGCCCAAGACCACGAAATCTCTTATCGATGTCGATATTGATATCGATGTCATTGTTCATATCGCCGTCGACATCCATATTGATGTCCACATCTCAAACGATGTCGATTTGAAATAGGTGTGCATATGCACTGTGTGCATAGGACGTGTCCATCCGCGTTCAGAGCAGGCCAGGCGCCGAAGCAGCCGGGAGGGACGAGGTCCACGGCCGGCGTTGTTGTCTTAGCAGGCGGACAGGTGCTCTCAGAGAGTCCGCGCTGCTCGCTGCCCAGCTGCTGTCCGACACGTGTGCGCGAGTGCAGCTGGCGGGCTGCCGCGCAGCATGCGGCCCGCCGTTCGGGGTCACGGCCGGAGTTCAGTCACCTCCCCTGTGGCCGCGCGGCCGGCCAGGCGCGCTTGGCAGCTCGCGCAGAAGAGCTCGAGTCAGGCTCCAGTGGGATTTTGCTTCGTTGTGGACTGAGAGCATCGTCACCTGCAACGCTATTGGTCTAACCATGTCAAGGGGTCGTAAAGGTCAGTAACCAAAATACCGTACCGGGGACATACAGGCCAATACGAGAAGCCTCAGAAAATTGATCACTGGCGTTTTTATGAAACCGATGAAAAGATGCAGGCCTTTGGTGTATATTTTGCGCTTTTTTGAATACACATAAATCTATATTGAAAAAGACGACGCCAACTGGAAGGCGTGGGGTCAAAACATCCCTCAAAAGAGATGATAGGTCTCATATATCCTCATAAGTAATGAACGGTTCAAGTATCATTACATAGAAGCTCACCTTTGCAGCGTCCTAAACACAATCTTAACACGTACACGGGTGGGGGCGCCAGTTTTGTCTCCAAGGACATTCCAAAATAACTCCTAAGCAGCGTGGCACAGCCGCGCCAGACTTTTGCATGGCTCTAGGCAATTGAATAGCTCATCTTCCAGTATAAAAATTCATTTACCTTTTTAGGTCAACAACATATGGCAAGTCAATATCAGGCTACGGCTGCCAGGGAAGGTAATTCTAAGGGCATTGTTCAACATGATGATACAGTGTAGCATTAGATGAAAGTATGCAAATCTCAACTGGCTTATTAGGCAATCATACTGTTGGAATTAGGATTAAGACTTATTTCATTGAAGTGAAAAAGCATGGATGGCATTTCGGGGTCCAAACCAAAGCGCTTTATTGCTGGAAAATTTGCCCTATGAGTAGCTGACTTTATGACGGTATGTTGACTTTATGAAGGTCACTTACCTAAAATGACCTCGATCAACCTTGTGCTTTGAGGAGCACGCCTCATAGAATAGCAATTGGCGCCGATCGTAAATTTAAATACCCCAAAAATTCCAAAGACTTCTGGTTATTCTTAACTTTTAAAGGTCAAATAGGGACACTGACGAGATATAAACGCCAGCGAAATTTTAATTTTAAGTGGTATCTAAACTAAGCTAGTTGTGTGATAAGACCTGAGGCTACTTCGGACACCGATCACGTAAGGGTGCTTGACCTCATTTGGCCCGAAGGCCACCCCCTGCGGACCCTAAGACATAGCACCATTGAGACCACATAGGGACCTGCCGACCTCGTGAATTTGATGTCTGCAGCCTGTCAAGCATGTAAGATATCAGGAGGGTTAAATTCTCCCTCCACATCCGAGCGCGGCGCATTTAACCTGCCAGCCCGGTGCGCTTTAATTGAGGCGAATTGACCCTAATTGCTACCCCATCACACTACGCAGGGCTGAAGATACGCGAAGTTTATTGGTGGGGCCAAAAGCCAATTATGATCATACGATTTTTCAGAGATTTTATCGTTGTAGACAGCTTTTCTTTTATGGATGTCATGGTAGAGTCGAAACCAACATTTGATCGGTAATGCAATGGCAAATAAAATCTGTCGGTGTCAGCATGATCCCGTTAACCCATGTCAAGTGATGAGCGCGCTGTAGGCACTGCAAGCTGCAAGCCGTTCAGCCTCCGACGAGAGTTCATTGAGGACGGGGTGTGTCGCTGAGCCGCGGCGCCATCCGCGATGCTTGTTTGTGTGTGCCAGCAGCCCATCAGCTAACGAGCGACGGCCTCGCCGAAGCCGACGAGGCGCCTTGCCAACGGAGCCGGTTATACCGGTTCTGTCCGGACTGAGCCGTACCGAACCGGCCGCTACAGGCGCGGCCCGCCCTGCTGTCCAGCTCCCTCCCCCCAGAGCGGTATGAGCCATGTAGCTGGTGATTCAGCTACTGATTAGCTGGTGATCCAGGACAGGAGATAGGTGTGTTTGTTTGTCAGAAAAGCATGCTGAGGGACTGGTGGAATGTGTGAGAAGGTGTTGGATAATAACCAGCTCGTGATTCACTTCTTACTAGGCGACGCAATGCAGCTAATCGTGCTTTTCTGCGTTCTTTTTTCGTCTTCTCAAAACTGTTGCACCTCTGTCACTTCTACGTAGGCTGCTGAATCCCTAGATAAACCAAACCAAGCACAATGTCCAAAGTTCAGTCTCTGAATGAGTTGTAGGTTTGTGTAAAACGACCTTGCCCCCGTTCAGAGCTCATCCAGTGTTTGAATTGTTCCTTTCGTCCACATCGTGGTAAGAATTAGAGGTGCGATTCGCCCTACGAGCCTGGCACTAGTAATAAACCGGCACCAACCTGGATACCCGGATATCGGCCCAGAGCCGGCAACGTGTGGCTGTCATCAGTATCGTTCGCTGTTTCCAATGCACTCAAGATAATTCAGCATTTCTCGGTACTGGCGTGGCCTCGGCACCGCCAGTCCAGGAGCTGACCGAGCACCGACGGTACTGATGCAGTCCAGGCAACGCTCATGTACCAAAGGTACTGGCCTATTTCTGGTACCGCTCCAGAGGCGACGGTACTGACGCAGTCTAGACGCCGATTCAGTACCGATGGTACTGACTCTGTCCAGGCACCACTTCAGTAACGAGCGACAGTGCTGACTCAGTCCAGGCACCGCTCGAGTACCGACGATACTGACTCAGTCCAGGCACCGCTCGAGTACCAACGATACTGACTCAGTCCAGGCACCGCTCAAGTACCGACGATGCTGACTCAGTCCAGGCATCGCCCGAGTACCAACGATGCTGACTCAGCCCAGGCACCGCTCGAGTACCGACGATACTGACTCAGTCCAGGCACCGCTCGAGTACCAACGATACTGACTCAGTCCAGGCACCGCTCAAGTACCGACGGTACTGACTCAGTCCGGGCACCGCTCGAGTACCGACGATGCTGACTCAGTCCAGGCATCGCCCGAGTACCAACGATACTGACTCAGCCCAGGCATCGCTCAAGCACCGACGACACTGACTCAGTCCAGGCACAGCTCGAGTGCCGACGGTGCTGACATTTTTCAGGCGCCGCTCCAGTAACGACGGCCTTGACGCACTATACGGCGTGCCAAGACATACTTTGCGTCTCTTCTGGTGACATAGATGACGGGAAAACGTCTGCAGCTGCGAAAACAGCCTGGTAATTTACTTGGCTTTAGTTCCGTCTCGCGCCACCTATCCAGTGCCCTCACCTAGGTGGTGAGCGCTCGTATCCTGCCGGACTGGCGCACTTGGCCCACGGCGAGCGCTGATTCTGGGAACTCCTTTGTGAAGAAACTGCCGGACATTCTAGGAAGTCTAAGCTCTATCGAGATTCCAGAAATGAACGTCATCCGCGTTGCGTATACCAGGCCATTTGTGCAGAAAAAAATTGTCTGTTAGCTTGCTGTGAGGTAGATCTCCTGTGATTTCTGATGACTTATGACTGAGGCTGACACGGATGTGCACATGGGAAGGAAGAAGCGAGGTCCCCCTCGAGAGATTGCCGTCCAGCTCTCCAACCTTTCTTGTAAACGGAATTGCAGTCCGATCTCCGATATTCCTTGGGATGCAATCCAGATCTCATCGCATCAAATAACAGCTTTCTACCTAATCCACGATTCACACTTCAAAAAGTGAATCCTAAACACATCCCTCGTACAATCCTAGAAAATCACATGCAATCTTAAAAAGATTGCAGCACATATTTTGCCAGCCATCCGTACATTTTCTCACCCTGCTTGTGGGATGACACCCACAACGCGTCAAAAGCACATGTTTGTTTCGCAAATTTCATTGAATAAAGAAGACACGTCAGGATTTTCAACTGCGCTAGATGATCATTTGCTATTCTCAAAGTCGCCTTGACATCTCGGCATTTTTTTTGGCACAATGTATACAGAAGCAGGAGGCAAGGTTATATGTGCCTGCAGATAATGGTCATTAAACGAAACACCTCAGGAATATCAGAAGCAAAGTTGGAATATCAAAAACAAGGTGGAGGTGGAAAACAAGCCTAACTGCAAACACTATCGTAATGCATATCTCACTTCAAGTATGTGGCCGCGGCCTTGAGTGCAGAAGTTCGCGGATAATCAATATGGGAGCTAATGCTTTTGCATCTGCCACCAATTGCAGGACGGAGCTCGGAAACGAGCCAAGACGTTAGTTAGACGTTAGACGTTAGACGTTAGAGCCAAAGCCAAAACGTTAGTTCGGTGAAAAGGTAGCCCTGATGAATATTGCGTTTTATGTTACCACCTGCTCAGACCTTAGTATATGATAGATCTGTTAAATCGTTTAGTTCACGGTTTACCCCGAGATACAC